TGCTCAGCCAGTGAGCGGGAACCGGTCCGTATGTGGGATCCGAACCCTCGGGCGGGAGCGCCACTGTGCTTCCCAAGCGGCGCACTATCCATTGCGCCACCGGGCCGGCCCCAGCTCCAAAACCTATTTTGTCCCAGCTTTCTTCTTCTTATTCTTTTTTATTTATTTTTATTTTTTATTTATTTATTTTTTTGTGGCTGGCCAGTGTAGGGATCAAACCCTCGACCTTGGTGTTATCAGCACCACGCTGTAAGCTACTAAGTTAACCAGCCAGCCCAGAGCTTTCTTTTGATTAGCATTAGCATGCATATCTTTTTCCATCCTTTTAACACTTTTTGTATGTTTATACTTAAAGTGGATTTCTGGTAGGCAGAATATAGTTGGGTCTTTTTTTAAAAAATGCAACCTGACATATGTCTGCTTTTTAGCAGAGATAATGGTGTTTAGACCATTTACACTTAATGTGATTATTAATATGGTTGAGTTTAAATCCACCATCTTGTATGTTTTCCATTTATCCCATGTACTTTGTTCCTTTTTGTTTCTACCTTCTTTTACATTAACTGAATATTTTTATGATTCTCTTTTCCCTCCTTTGTTGGCTTATTAGTTATAACTTTGTTGTCATTTGAGAGGCTGATTTAGAACTTATAGTAAATATCCTTAACTTATCAGTCTACTTTCAAGTGATATTATACCACTTTGCATATATAATGAGACAAGAAAGGCTTCTTTCTTTCCCCATCCTCCACCTCTTGCCTTTATACTACTGTTATTATACATTTTACTTGTACATATTTTATAAGCACCACAATATACTGTTATTTTTTGCATTAAACAATCAACTGTCATTTAAAGAGATTTAAACCACTTAGCCACATTGCTCCTCAACACCAGATGCAGCCTTTGGCTGAGAGGGAGATGCGGTTAGCTGGGAAGCCACCCTAGGTTTCAGAGACTAGTGTTGGTTCCAGACTGGTCTCATCTCCATTGCCTTAGTGCTGGGTGGCCCAAGGTCCCACAGAGCTCTGGCTGTAAGTGCAGGAGTGCCAAACACGGCACCTGTGGGGTGTGGGCATCCACAGGAGAGGTTCGGGTAAGATCGTGACAATATTGTATAAGGGAAATTGATGAGAGGAAGTGAGGCTTTCGGGATGGCTGCATGTGAATGAGACACAGTGCACACACTGGTGGGGCTGTCATGGGTAGTGGCCTCCATAGAGAGTGATCACAGAACCTTAGTCCATTCAGGACATTTTGAAACACTCAGTCCCCAGGCTCAGAGGATGGCTCCTCAGGGCAAGCCACAAATTAGAGGTCAGCTGTCTGTAAGATTAGCAAGAAAGCTGCCTGTCCCCAAGACCCATCTGCCTTGGGGGGTCACAGAGGCAGGATGCAAGCCACAGTGTGTTGCATTCTTGCACTAGTCATGAAAATGGGGCTAGAGAAAGAAGCTGGACATCAGGGACTAATGTCCACAGCACATGGCACCCACAACTGCCCAGCCTGTCCACATGCTGGCACCCAGAGCAGCCTCTGCAGCCACACAGGACAGTTTTCGATCCATTGCCGGACACGAAAAAAGACAAAAAGGAAAAAAAAAAGAGATTTAAATAATAAGGAAAAAAGTCCTTATGTTTACCCACTGGCTACCATTTCAGTGCTCATCTTGTGCAGATCCAGATACCCATCTGGTATTATTTTCCTTCGTTTAACATTCTGGCAGTACTGGTGATGCAGTCTCTCAGCCTTTGTATGGCTGGAAAAGTGTTCACTTCACCTTTATTTTTGAAAGATATTTTTGTTGGGAAAGAATTTTAAGGTGATAGTTTTTTTTGTTTGTTTGTTTTTGAGTACTTTAAGATGTTTTTCCACTGTCTTCATTGTTTCTGATGACAATTCTGCTGTCATCCTTTTTTTTTTTTCCATCATCCTTATCTTTGTTCCTCTGTATATAATGTGTCTTTTTACTCTGGTTGCCCTAACGTTTTATTTTTATCACTGATGTTAAACAATTTACTGTCTACTTTGGTTTAGTTTTCTACATGTTTCTTTTGTTTGGGGTTCAATGAACTTCTTGGATCTGTGTGTTTACAGTTTCCATCAAATTTGGAAATGTTTACATGGCTGGCCATTTGCTCACTTGAGAGAGTGAGGTGCTGGTAACACCAAGGTCAAGGGTTTAGATTCTCATACAAGCCAGCTACAAAAAGAAAAAAACTGAAAATGTTTCAGCAATTATTTCTTCAGATATTTTTTCTGTCTTTCACTCTCCTTGGGACTCCAGTTACATGAATATTAGGCCCTCTGAATTAGTCCCAAAATTCACTGATGCTCTGTTCATTTTTTTCCAGTCATTTTTCTTGCTGGGTTTAATTCTGGATAGTTTATATCGTTTAAAGTTGACTCATCTTTTCTTCTGCACCGTCTAATCTGCTATTAATCCCAGTGCATGTCATTTTCGTGTGACATAGTAGTTTTCATCTCTAAAAGTTTGATTTCTGGCCCGGCCCGTGGCTCACTTGGGAGAGTGTGGTGCTGATAACACCAAGGCCCTGGGTTCGGATCCCATATAGGGATGGCCAGTTCTCTCACTGGCTATGCGTGGTGCTGGCTATGCGTGGTGTAACTTCCTGTCTGCAAAGCTGAGCTCCGCCGGGCCAGGGCCGCTGCTCCTCCTGTGCTCCGGTTCACAGGCCCGGGCAGAGACCTTTCCTATCCTGCTCACCAGCAGCTCCACCTCCTCCACCTCCCTTGTAAGCCTCAGGTCCATCTCCTCCACACCATCTCTCCAATTTCTGAGTCCCATCCCTTATGTCTTGCTTTATACTTTATTTTTAAGGTGAATTTTTTTTCATTGAGATAAAAAATTCTAAGGAAATAAAATTCACCATTTTAACCATTTAAAAATTACAATTCAGTGGATTTTAGTACATTCGTGGTGTTGCAGAACCATCACCATCTAATTCCAGAACATTCTCATCACCCCAAATGGAAACCCCGTCCCCATTGGGCAGTGCCGAGGCTCATCACGTTGAGCATGTTCCTGCACTTATCTCTTCCATGGCAGAGTGACCCTCCATTGTGTGGACAGACCACAGTTGGCTTATCCACTCTTCTGTTGAGGGACATTTGGGTTGTTTGCACTTTCGGCTATTATGAACAATTCTACTATAATCTTGCCTTATACTTTTGCCACAGCCTTCCAGCTGGTCTCCCTGTCTCCTACCTCTCCCTCCAAACCAGACAGTTCTTTCTAAAACTCAAATCTAATGTTTACCCATTTCAGACACTTCAGTCATTGCCCCTGCCCACGGAATAAATCCAGCCTCTTTACGTGGCAATGGGCTCATGACCTGAAGGTGGGGCCAGACACCTGCTGAACCTGGAGGACACTGGGCCAGTCCCAGCTCTGAGCCCCCCTACTTCATCCTGGCTCCAAGCCCAGAATGCCTTTTCCCACCTGTTCATAACCCACAGCAGGCCACTGTGATCTAAGGGCTTCAGGGAAGATACGGGCTTTGGTCCTAAAGGAGGACGTGGCCTTTCCATTGGCAGGAAGATATGATTCTTCATCCATTCCTTTGGCCCCAAGTCAGGGCTGGTCCCTCAGCAGGTCCTCAGTAAACACACCCTGCCTCAGTTACCACCAATGGCTCTTACCTCCTCTTTGGGCAGATTTCTTAATCTTCTTCGAATCCTGAAAGAAAGAACCACAAAACAAGATGTTTACTGGAGTGGGAGGCTGCTGGGGAAAGGGTGGATGCCGGCGACAAGGCTGTCTCTGGGGGGCTCCTACGCCTTCCAGGGGCCCTAGCTGGTCCAGGAAGGCAGGGTGTGTCTCCTGGTGAGGAGGGTACCTGACCTGGTCTGCACCTGAGGACAAGGCTGCCTCAAGTGTGGTGACCCGGGAGGGGCACCCCAGCAGCCTTGCTGTGGAGGCGGGAGAGGCCCTCCCTCAGCCCTCCCCTCCCTCCGTGGCCTGGGTGCCGCAGCCCTTCCTTGCTGGAAAAGAAGGCAGAGGCGGAGGGATGTGGCAGGGGCCTCGTGGTACCCTGGCAAACGTCAACTTGTCGGATTCCAAGGTGCGGACCACCCCAAAGTCGCACACGGTGGACACCAGGGACTCCCCAGCCAGCAGGGGCTCCAGGATCACTAAGCCGCTGCCCAGCACCCGCAGGATGGGCGGGTCCTGGCGGAGCTCCTTGGGAAGCTCCTTCCTCTTCTTGGGCACTTTTTGTTCCTGTGGAGAGAGGCCAGGAGGGGGACCGGGCAAGGCAAAGGGGCTGCCCCTGGGCGGTCCCCACACGCAGTCCCTCCGGGCCTCACCTTGGCAGGCTCTCTCCCCCCCTTCCCCTTCTTGTCTTGCCCAACTTTTCCCTTCTTGTCTTTCTCTTCTTTTCCCTTCTTGTCTTTCTCTTCTTTTCCCTTCTTATCTTTCTCCCTCTTTCCTTTCTTGGCAGACATGGGACTGTCAACAGGAGGCAGCACCACAGGCCAGGAGAGAATCTAGGGGACAGGGGCGCGGTGGGCTGGCTGGCTGGGGGCGCCTCTGCCTCACCCTTTCTGGAAAGGTGCTGAGACCTTGTCTGACGAGGGAGTGGGGCTATGTGATGGGCTGATGGAAAACTGGAACAGAGGGTAAGAAGTGACGGGACTGCGTTGGCCACAGGGAATTCCAACATGGGAGGTCGTAGCCATCTGGTTCCCCTGCCCACCTTTTCCTCCACGATGGTCACAGTGGTCCCTGCCAGCAGAAAGGCCTTGAGTGGCACCAGGTCCTTAAGGGTGTGCTGCATCTCGTAGCTGCAGGGAATGACGTCAGCCCAGGGCTTGCAGGCAGTGCTGAAGAGGACTGTCCTGGGGAGGGGAGATGTGGACATGGCTGTCACCACCCAGGGGCTGTAGCTGGGAACCAGGGACAAGGCTGGCAGGGGACTTCCGACATTGGGGTGGATCTGGACATGCATGCATGTGCCAGGCAAGCAAGGGGACCAGAAGGCCAGGAAGCAAAGTGGGCACAGAGGAGGCAGCCAACTAAATGCCAGCATAGACTCCTGCAGGGCAGGGCCGTGCACTGCACAGCTGATGAAAACCAGCCCCAAACATGTCAAAGGATTTTTTAAAAAGGGTCTAGATGTAGTAGTAAAAAAGTAGAAACATTACAAATGCCCTGAGAATTACAAAGTGATATTGTAATGGCAATCAAAATTCTCCTGGGGTGTGTCACAAGCCTTGATATCAAGGTGAGCAAATTCACCTGGAAGAGAAAGCAAGAATTCCTATTACAAAGTGATATTGTAATGGCAATCAAAATTCTCCTGGAGTGTGTCACAAGCCTTGATATCAAGGTGAGCAAATTCACCTGGAAGAGAAAGCAAGAATTCCAAAGAATATATTTAAGGGAGAATGATGGGGACTTGAACAGATACTCATACGCCAATGTTCACAGCAGCACTATTCACACTAGCCAAAAGTAGAAACAACCCAAGTGCCCACCAATAGATGGATGGATGAATGAAATGTGGTTTATCCACACAATGGAAAATTACTCAGCCTTAGAAAGGAAGGAAATTCTGACACACGCTACAACATGGATGAACCATAAAAATACAATGCTAACTGAAATAAGGTAGGCACAAAAGGACAATATCATATGATTCCAGCTATATGAGGTCCCTAGAGTAGTCAAATTCATAGAGACCTAAAGTAGAAGGGTGGTTGCCAGGGGCTGAAGGAGGGGAATGGAGAATGAGTGTTAATTTTACTTGATTTTGGCAGCTGACCAGTGTACGGATCCGAACCCTTGACCTTGGTGTTACAACACGATGCTCTAACCAACTGAGCTAACTGGCCAGCCCAAGTGTTCATGTAATGGGGTCAGAATTTCAGTTTGGGGGGCTGGCCTGGTGGCGCACTCGGTAGAGTGCGGTGCTTGGGAGCGCAGTGGCGCTCCCACCGAGGGTTCAGATCCCATATAGAGACCGGTCAGCTCACTGGTTGAGCGCAGTGCGGGCGCGACACCGAGGGTTGCGATCCCGTTGCTGGTCACGAAAAAAGACAAAAAGGAAAAAAAAATAAAATAAAAAATAAATAATTTCAGTTTGGGGAGATGAGAAAGTTCTAGAGATGGATGGTTGTGATGGTTCCTCAACAAGGTGAATTTGCTTAACATCATGGAACCGTACACTTAAAAATGGTTAAAAAGTTACAATTTTCTGTTATGTATATTTTGTCACACACACACACAGAGGTAATGATGCTGAAGACAATGAATCCCATGAACGTAGTACAGCATTATTCATTTTTACATATCTAGTACCTAGTCTAGTTTCTGGCACACCAAAAATATTTTGTGAATGAATAGATCGATTAATAAATAAATAAATGAATAAGTAAGTTATTTATGCCACTGAATTTTAAAAACATATTGGAAAGCAACAATTATCAGAACAATAAGAAATTGGGTCAAAAGCAGGAACAATGGCCCCCTAGACTAGAATAGAGACTTTTAAACAAAGTTAGATTAGTCTTAGAACATAACACGTGACAATGCCAAAGCAGCATTCCTGTTGGGAAGTAATTTAACATATATTGGTTGGTTTTTTGCTTGGTTTTTTTTTGGCAACTGGCCAGTATGGAGATCACACACTGGTGTTATCAGCACTGTGCTCTAACCCAGTGAGCTAACTGGCCGGCCCTTATATATTAACAACCAGATCACAGCATGGAGAATTACTAACATATTATAACATATTTAGAGTACATCCAAGTTAAACATTAATAAAAGCCAGAAGAAAATAGAATAAATTATTTATCCAGGCACTGAGGGAGAACTTTTTCCTTCAATGAAAAGAAGAGCACAGTAAAAGATAAAGTGGGTAGATCGAACTAAAATAGAAGGTAAGCCCAGGAAAATACATAATGGTGTCAGTCCAGGTTTGCAAACCATGCAGAACTGTGCAAAACCAAATGTTAAAAGTGGGCCAGCCTGTGGCTCACTTGGGAGAGCGTGGTGCTGATAACACCAAGTCAAGGGTTAATATCCCCTTACTGGTCATCTTTTTAAAAAAAATGTTAAAAGGGAAACATAAAAATGGTGGAAATATATGTGAAAATAATAACTGATTAAAAAATTAGTGATATTGACAGATAGAATGAGTCTGAGATAGAATGTGAAAAAAAGAACAAAACCAGAAATGAGTGATATCATGTTATATATAAATCATAGAAATATATAAAGGTTAACACTCAAAATCTACTACAGAAGTGAGTGAAGGATTTGATACAACCTATTTGCAGACTATCATCTCCACCATAGTTCTATATTCAAGCTTCCTTCTGCTGCTTCCTCCTAAGTCTACATGCCCATCATAAGGACTCAGATATTGCCCTGTACTTCCCTGATGTAGCACCCATGACATGGAGTACCTTGTAATCACTATTTGTTCATTTCCCTCCTGAAAGAGAAAAGACCATTTTCTATCTTGTTTGTTGTCTATAACCAACATAATTCAGAATCATGCTGGATATGGTAGATGGATGATTAATATTTACTAATTGTTGAATATGAGAAACTACAGATGGTAAAATAATTACATGGAAAATATAAACACTTGCAAATAAACTAAAGAACATAACTTAAAATAATTGAAAAGAAAATATATAAGCCTGCAAAATTAAAAAATACTTTTAGAAAATCAATGTAGGAGTTCTATTTCAGGAAATGACAGACTAGACTATGTTGGCAAACCTTCCTACTGCGAACTACCATAAATGCTATTGAGCTACCAAGTCAGTGAGAATTTTTGAGACCAAAATCTGGGCAAAGAAGGACAGCCAAGAAGAATGAGCTTGGGGGCCGGCCCGGTGGCGCACTGTGCTAGTGCGCCACTTGGGAAGCGCGGCTGCACTCCCGCCGAGGGTTCGGATCCCACATACAGACCAGTTCCTGCTCACTGGCTGAGCGAGGCGCGGGGGCAACACCGAGGGTTGTGATCCCGTTGCCAGTCCCGGTCCGGTACGGGGGCAACACTGAGGGTTGCAATCCGTTGCCGGACATGGAAAAAGACAAAAAAAAAAAGAATGAGCTTGGTATTCAGTGCCACTTTAATACTCAAGGTGAGAGCCAATTCCAAAAGTGGTGGCTGAGAAGCTTAATAGAAAATTAGGCAATCTCGTGGGACAAGAGGGACAAAAATTTGAACTCAGGGTCTTCCAGGAAGGAGGGTCACTGCTAAACACTCCATGTCTCTCTTTGGGTTTTCCAAAGAGCTACTAGAAGAGTACATAATGGCAGTGCCAGAAGGAGAAGAGCTAGAGAAACAAGCAAAAAAAATACTTGATGAGTAATGGCTGAAAACTTCCCAATATGATTAAAGACATTCATTTACATATCCAAGAAACTTGACAAACTCCAAGAAGGATAAATGCAAAGAGAGACACACTATAGTAAAAACACTGAAAGACAAAGATAAAGTGAAAATCTTGCAAGCAGCAAGAGAAAAATGACTCATCACATACAATGGAACCCCGATAAGATTAACTACTGACTTCTTATCAGAAACTCTGGAGGCCATGGATGGCTGGTTATCTCAGTTGGTTAGGGAGCAGTGTTGTAACACCAAGATTAAGGGTTTGGATCCCTGTATTGGCCAGCCACAGAAAAACAAACAAACAAACAAAAGAAACTAGGGAGGCCAGAAGGCAGACAGGTGACATATTCAAAGCATGGGGGAGAAAAAACCCCACCAAAACTGTCAGCCAAAAATTCTATATCCAGCTAAACTATCTTTCAAAACTGCAGGAGAAGTAAAGACATTCCAAGATAAGCAAAAAACTGAGAGAAATTTTGCTAGTAGACTTGCCTTATATGAAATACTAAAGGAAGTTCTTCAGGCTAAAAGGAAGTGACCCCAGACAGTTATTTGAATTCATATAAAAAAACCAAAAAAAAAAAATTTTTTAAAAAAAAAGGGCCGGCCCGGTGGCGCACTGGATAGTGCGCTGCTTGGGAAGCGCGGTGGCGCTCCCGCCCGAGGGTTCGGATCCCACATACAGACCGGCTCCCGCTCACTGGCTGAGCGAGGCGCGGGAGC